AAGCGTTGTAGGCGCAAACCTAAAAAATAATGTTGTCTCGTCTTTGTTGATGGTGGAACTCTCTTTGGATTTATTTTGTGGGTTGTTGGTGGTTGGTTGTGTTGTTTCGGCTGGGTGTGAGGGTGGTGTGGCTTTGTTTGTTGGCTTTTCATTTTGTTTTTTGGTGGTTGTGTGAGTTTTCTGTGGGCTGGTTTTTGTTGCGCTGAAGCTAGGTTGTGTGGCTATCATGGCTTCGTTTCAGTGATTTTCCTCAAGAATGTGTTGGTATGCCTAGGATGGTTCTCAATTTCTCTTATTTTTTGCATGTATCTGTTTTTCTATGGTTGTGTAGGTTTTTTTCAGTGGTTGTTGTGGATCTTTGTTGATGTGTGCTTCTCTATTCTGATTTGGTTACTTGATTCCCTTTCGGTGTTATCCTTTTATTTTCTTTTTCACTGTGTTGAATTAGGTAGAACATTAGCTCATAGGTTTCACTTCAAAAATTATATTTAAGAGAGCTTTTGGTTCTTTAACGACCTTAATTTTATTATTTTATGGAACGCGTAGGTCCCTGTGTGGGATTTATTAAAAAAAAGTAGAGGTTACTAACTCACACTAGGCTAGGTGTGTAAGTGAGTCGAGCCGGCTCACGAACCGACTTGAGCTCGACTCGTTAATAGTCGCAGCTGAGATTATCGAGCACAGCCCGAGCTCGAGTTCTAGCTTGATGAGGCTTGGCTCGTGAGCCCACGAGCCGGCTCGAATCATTATTAATATTTTTTAAAAAAATTAATTATTAATTAAATTTAAATAATTGCTTGCACTATTAAAAATTTCGCCTCGGCTTTTGAAATTTCTTGTGAATTCGCAGAACAAGCGGATCACACGCTAGTAGTTGTTGGAGCGTACTCGGAAGGCGGATGACCACGGAAGCTCGCTCGTTCGCAGAAGGCGGCTCTGACCTTCGGAGGCTCGCAAGCGGCTCGACTCATTTACAAGCGGCTCGAACTCGATAACCACTACTTGACTTGGCACTCTCAACTCGTTTACTCTAACTCACACTATGGTCAACATATTCATGTAAACATAATCCAACCTTAGTATCTATTAATTTATAAAATTCTAAGCATTTTGGGGGTATATGTCTCACACCCACCATATAAGCATGTACGATAGTTAAACGATATACCGTACACTATATCCAGTAAATTTATATTACCAAGTAAATCAATGACATCTCAGAACATTCTAATAAAAATAAATTAAATATTTAGCTAATTTTTTTTTTATATATTTGATATAAATTTGACTAATTCAACTTCAATTTTTTTATTTTTTTTTTTCAAATCTAACCTCACTAATGAAGAAATAAATCATGAATTGCACATGTCTGATTAGATTTTTTTTTTTGGAAATTAAATTTAAAATTTTGATACATTTAAATTATTAAGAACCTAAACGCGCGTGAGTGAGGTTGTTATCTATCTTTTTCAATAATAAAATTTTTTTCCTCATGTTAATTTTCTCAATGCGAGAAGAAGAAGTTCATCTTGCTTATGCAGGTGAGCAATGCTTGTCAATTTGGAAGACCAAGTCATGGCTATGGAAATGCAGGTTATGGCCATGATTCAGAGTTGATTTCGACTTCTGGTCGGTATATAAGGCAGAGTTAGGCCTCATTAGGGATGCTTTTTTTTTATTATTGTTTCTTAAAGCCAGTTTTTGGTACAAAAAAATTAATTTTTTATACTAAAAAGCTGCTTTAAGAAGCAGTGAAGCATATAAGGAAAGAGTTAACGCTTTATTTGTGACGGCTTCTTTACTGCTTCTTAAGCAGCTTTCTAGAAAACTGTTTAAGAAGCATTAAGAAAGTTGTCATCACAAATAAAGCTTTAATAGCCTATTTTGGATGTGATGCACTATTTTACTCTTTAGTGAAAAGAAATATTACATATATTAATTGCAATTTTATTTACAATTATGGCCGACATATTTGTGCCTAGATATTTGCTAATCTTTGTGATTAGTAGTAGAAGTATATGGTATAATGATAATTAATGCTTGATAGCGGAAAATTCATTGTTATGAGACCATCATAAATTTTTTTAAAAAATAGTAAGAAAATAATAGACAAAAGAAATTATGACTATGATATGAAAAGCATAGCAATGGAAAAAGCTTTTCTAAACAAACCCTAATCAGCATTACTAATTTTTCTCGATTGTTTAAAATCAATATTAGAAAATTCTTTTTTTTGTATTTTTTAGTTTTTAAATATTTTATCATAAAACTATTTTTTTAATATGACTATATAATAATCTCTTAGTTTCATTTTCTAAGAATGCAATATTAATTTTTTTTTTACATATTTAAACAACTTAAATATATTTCAAAATTACTATTTCCAATATATATCACTTTAATATTTTATCTATATATAACTATCTTTAACTTATCTTTTATAGTTTTATAATATATATATAACAGGCAATTTTTGGTCGCCATATCATAGGTTTCCCAAATTTTGATAAAAATATCTTTTAAAAATATTTAAAATTATTTTAAAATGAATATAAAATATAAATAATAAAATATTTTTTATTTCATAATCAACATAAAGTAAATTCAAAATTTTAAAATTCCGCATAAAAAAATTGGTATCCGATATTCTCACCCCATTTTTTTCTTTCACAGTACGAACCGACGTGAGGGTTGACCTGTAAGTCTTCCGTCTGTCTGCTTCATCTGGTCACTGTCGATTTATAGGAATTGGAAAATTTTCGACTAAATTTGGAAAACTCAAAATATCAAGTTTTTAAAAATCTGGTCTGACAATGAATATGGAGAGGAGAGGAAATAATATATTATTAAAAATTAATAAAATTAGCATAATGAATGATTTTATTAATTCAAATAAGAGAGAAAAACCCTAGCTCGAGAGACGGTAATCCGAGTTAGATGTCATTCGAACCCAACTCACTTAAGGGCATCTCCAACGGAAAACTCCAATTTTCACAGCAAAATACTACAAAACTCCAAAATGTCCGTGGTGCTGCTCAATCGAACGTCATTTTCGAAGGTAACGATCCTTCTCCCTTTCGCGTGTTTTTCTGATTGAGAGAGCAAAATAGCGTGGGTGAACAGTGCAACGTCAATATTGCGTCGCACTGTTCACCCGCAAGTAAATGGCGGAAGATTTGGGATTCGGCTGGAGCGATCGAACGGTGCCATAGGCTCGTTTGACGTTCGGTTGGATATGCTCTAAAATGCTACTTTAGAGGCTTTATTAGCTCTCATTGTTTTGAATGAATTATACTATTTTGTTTCAAATTTTTGTTTGAAAATAGTGCTCATATGAAGTAGCTGTAAAAAAAATTCAAATTTGTTCAATATTTTTTTCCCATTGGTAAAATAAATACTCAATGGCAATTGATCTGATTTAAATAAATATTTAAATATATATTTATTTAAACAGTACCATTGGTTTATTCTTCATTTCATATATACAATCCATAAGAAAAACAAAATTTTCAAATTAAAAGTATTCAATTAACAGTTTATCTTATTATTATTCTTCTTCTTATTATTATTATTCAATAAAATATATTAATAGTTCTAAAAAAAAGATAAAAATGATTACATATATTTCATTTTCTTACGGCTCTAATTTATTATTATTATTATTATTTTAGCAACACATAACCTCAATGGACTTGGTCTTTGACTCTTTGGTGAAACACTATTATTCATTTTTATTTTGGGTGCGCATAATTAAAAAAGAAAAGAAAAATAGTGATAGTGCCTCATGGATGAGATTATTACGTGCGGTCACGAACCTGATTCGAAGGCGAATCAGGGATGGCGTCACATCATCCATTTGCTGTGTACCGGTGTTGTGGCTCATCCTGATTCGTCTTTGAACTGTCCAGTGACTGCAAGTAATAATTTATCTTAATGGACAAACTGTCTCTTTCCTTCACATATTTTCCAGGCCTATTTCTATTTACTAGTTGAGAAATATAACTAAATATTTTACTCAATAGGTGCTGTCTCTAGTCATCACTTGTGTCAATTATAGAAGGAGAAAATTGAGGGGGAAAATGAAATGAAAAATTATATTTTTTTGCATTACTTTGTCTCCTCTATCATATTTTAATTATCTAAAATATTATATCAAATAATATTAGAGGAAAAAATTGTAAATATTTTATATTTTAAATAAAATAAAAAATAAGTAAAAAAGAGAGTGCATCAATTATAGATTGAGCCCTCAAAATATTTTAGGATGAAATAAAAAGTGGATTTTTTTTAAATATTATTTTGTTTACTTTTTAATATGAATTATATATATAATTAAATATTATTTTTGTTTACTTTGTCATTATGCAAAGAGGGTCATTAATGACAAAGTCCTCTAATTACTCCCTTTAATAGTCCTCAACATACAATACTTGATATTTGTACTCAATAAACCAGTAATCATAAGATGTGCCTATCTGGAGATACCCAACAACTATTCAACTAGTAGTACTCATTCCATAGCAGCTCTCGTCCATGGCTGGTGCATGATCAACGAATACTAGACGGTTCGGAGACCAATCAGAACGTGCCACATCACTCAATACACATCCATATTGAGCACCAGTACTGAACAAAAAAATGACATGACACGTCATGATTGATTTCCTGGCGCCGTTGAGCAGTCCAGGATCCGCACAAAAAACGAATACTGGACGGTTCGTAGATCAATCAGAACGCGCTACATCACTCGATACACACCCGTACTAGGCCTCAGTACGAAACAAAAAAAAAATGACATGACATGTTCTGATTGATTTCGGGACGGGGTCCACAAAATAATTTTTCCTCACAAAGACACATTTAGGGGAAAAAATGTAAGCGTGACCTTTAACAACTGACATCACGTAGCTGCCGTCAGCAAAAACGACTAAGTCCAGAAGTCTTTCGGTGATCAGACTGCCCTTAATGGAAGGCGCCAAAGCTCCAAAGCTTTCTATTCGTTTTATATAGCCCTGATCAAATCGACAGCTTCCAATCTCCCGCTCTCACTTTCATCCTCAGTCCCGTCTACAATCCATGGCGGATCTCCTCCTCTCCGTCGGCCAGCCTCTCGAATCCGTACCGGAGTCCTACATCCGGCCGGCGTCCCAGCGACCGAACTTCGCCGCCGTCGAGATCGACGGAAACATCCCCATCGTTGATCTCGGATCCCCTGATAAATCCCTAATCGTTGCCCAAGTAGGTCAAGCGTGCCAATCTTATGGTTTCTTCCAGGTTCTCCCTCCCTCCTAAAATCTCCATTCCCTGCCTCTATAATTGATTGACACTGATGGTTTCTTCTAATTGATCAGGTAGTGAACCATGGTATTTCATCCGAATTGATTCAGCAGATGCGAGCCATTGGGAACGAATTCTTCCACCTTCCGGCGGAGGAGAAGTTGAGACTCTATTCCGACGATCCGGCTAAGAAGGTTCGGTTGTCGACGAGCTTCAATGTGAAGAAGGAGACGGTGCATAACTGGAGGGATTATCTCCGGCTTCACTGTTACCCCCTTGAGGAGTACTTATCGGTCTGGCCTTCCAAGCCTTCGGCCTTCAGGTTCTGATTCTCAGCTGCTTGTTCTAATTCGTCTAGTTTAATCGCCGGACTCAAATTGTTGGCAGATTGTGAATGGTTCAATATTTTGTTGATATAAATTGATTAGTATATGGAGCAAAATTTGGAATCGGATTCCTCCAATTAGATGGGCAGATTTATTGTTTTGATGAGCTCACATAATGACAAATTTTATACAATAATAATAATAATAAAAACTCGAGAAGCTCACCATTTGTTTACATATGGACGACAGTACTGTAGGAAACTTCCTGAAGTAATGAATCACCGAAAAACTCCAAGCCGGTGGAGTTGGGGGACCAAGAACTTGATTCAAGGGGAGCACAAATCATTTTGTTCCACTTTTTAAAACCATTTCAATAGAATTCAGGGTTCCAATGGACACAAAAGCTTGGAAGGTTTATAATATCCAAGGAAAATGAAAAGGTTACAAAGGACAGAAACTTTGATACGCAAATCAAGTCTTTAATTCCCTACAGAACTAACTTAGCAACTAATTCTTATAAAAATGAATAGGGCAATGAAACACTGAAAAGCTAAAGACTTTCAATTAAACTTTTTTAAAAAATATAAAACAGTCCCTTGCAACTTTCATTCAAGTTTAGCCAAGTGTCTTGCCATCTGGTTTTTGGGAGCCCATAGGCATAGGGATAGCAAATTTTCAGTTCCTTTAAGTACTGTTGATCCTTCGTTGCAACTACCTCTGCATCACTATATTGTACCAACCATAGCTATTGTCTTCACTGTTCTGTTAGGCCCAAAGGACAATTATTCCTCCAAGAAAACCACGAGCTCTTCTTTGTTGTTTTTCTGCTCCTGCACATAGTGTCTTTACATGTTTTACTCATTTTATTTCTTGCGTTCAAGATTCAAATTCAAGACCTCTTAGTTGATAGTCTAAGCTTCTAACCAATAGATCAAAATTGAAAGGAAACAAATGAAATCAAGTAATGAGTACTGAAGCTATATAGACTTTAGAAAAAGCTGAGAGCAAGCATGTGGAGTCACATGCTTATAAAAATATTCACAGCGGTCATCAGCCGAGCATTTAATTGAATAGCAAACCGAGTAAAGTCAGCTTTTACTGCTCCGACATCTTAAAGAATCAAGATCATCTATTGTTTTATTATTATTGACATTAGTGGGCGTTTATGATTTTAAGAACCTTTTCAGAGTATTGTTTAATCACCAATCAGCCACGTAACAACTTGCTCAACCGGTTGTTTTGATTTATATTAAAAGATAATCGCCATTTTCAGTATGTAGGCATCATCTCTAATATATAATTCACTAGGGATATGTCACAAAGTTTACTTGATAATTTTGATTGATGAAATATTATGAATAAGCTTGGGCTTTTTAAGTAGGTATTTGTATGTCATATATTATGTTAGACAATACTAATGTTTCATTTGAGACAGTTTTTTACTGCTTCTTAAAGACTTAAAGCATCTTTTTAGTAAAAAAATTACAATTTATGTATTAGAAGAATCAAAGTCTAAAACTAATAGAATGACGATATTCTACTGAGAGAAGAAAAATCGGAGTCCCAAATTTTGAACCATGCTATGAACCATAAAGGAAGTTTAGATTGTCTATGGGGATATTAATCTTTGAAAGGTAAAAAGTTGTAGATCCAACTAAGGTTTCGTTTCTTATTGCTTTTAAAGATGTTTTTTAGTTAAAAAAAGTTAATTTTTTTGTTAGAAAGATGATTTATGAAGCAATAAAAAAAATGTCCCAAACGGAGTCTAAGTAGGGAAAACATTTATAAGAAGAATTTCTTATAAAAGTTGTATTAGAAAATGATAGATAAATACATAAAAGTTAAAAAAATAATTAAATTTTCTGTCAAAAGAAATTATTCACTGATGTTATTTTCTGTTTCAAAATAAATTACCATATCCTGATAGTAATTGCATCTAGATATCTTAATAGAAGTTTTATCCTTTAAACAGAGGAACTCCAATTTTCAAAACTTTCTTTCAGGGAAGTGGTGAGCAAATACTGCACGGAAGTGCGCAGACTTGGTTTCTTCCTCCTCGGCTTTATCTCTCTGAGCCTTGGCCTGGAGCAGGACTATATTAAGGAAGTTCTTGGCGAACAAGAGCAACACATGGCTATAAACTATTACCCTCCTTGCCCTGAACCAGAGCTCACTTATGGTCTCCCTTCCCATACTGATCCCAACGCCCTCACCATCTTGCTCCAAGACCCACAAGTTGCTGGCCTGCAAGTCCTCAGAGCCGGCAAGTGGATCGCCGTCGGTCCCCATCCCAATGCCTTTGTCATCAACTTAGGCGATCAATTGCAGGTAATCCAGCTTCAAATTTGTCATTATTAGACGTATTCCAACTATATGGAGATGTTAAGAGCTAAAAGTATGATTTAATTAATGTTTGTTCTAGTAAATTTTGTAAATTTAGATTTGGTAAGGAGCTGTTTGGTATGCGGATTTAGGACGGATTTGAGGCGGATTTGAATCAAACGACCTAAAATGCAAAACCAAATCTCACGGAAAATCAAAGCCTCCGTAGACAGAAAATTCCGCCTTTTCGTCGTAAATCCCGGATTTCAGAAATCCTCTCGTTCGGAGGATTTTTGAAATCCTATGGCTCTATTGGCGCGGGAAGCAAGAAACTCCGCCCAAATCTTTCAACCTCCTTAAATCCTAAATGGAATAGCCAAACAGTCACATTGGATTTATCATGAAGGTTACCAAACAGTTTTCAGGATTTAACCCCCTCAGGATTTCGTAAATCCGGATTTGGAGGATTTACGAAATCCTACTTAAATGAAATCCTATATTTCACCAAACAGTCCCTAAATGTTAGAGATGTTAAATCCTGAAAACTATTTGACTTGATAGATGCAAAATCTGAGTAAATTCTAATAATTAGATGAATATTTTCAAGATTAAGAATTGTAATGGAGGAGAAGAAGAGGCACAATAAAGAGAAATGCAAATATTTTCAATCCTGCTTCTCCTATTATATGGTTCAAAAAACTGTCTGATAAGATTTTGTCTAAGCCATAGCTAAATCTTTCAACCAAACAAACCTCAATATATTGATTTAGTTCATCGCAAATTCAAATTTGATAATGGCAAACAAATTTCATCAAATTCTTAATAAGCCTTTTATTATTTTATATAGTAAATTAGGGATTGTGTTGCATATTTCAGGCCCTGAGCAATGGTAAGTACAGAAGCGTTTTCCATAGAGCAGTGGTGAATTCAGAGAAGGAGAGATTGTCAGTGGCTTCCTTCCTCTGCCCATGTAACAGTTCAGTGATTGCACCAGCCAAGCAGCTCACAGCCGAGGACTCGCCGGCGATCTACAGGAGCTATACCTATGATGAGTATTACAAACAGTTTTGGGCAAGGAATTTGGATCAGGAACACTGCTTGGAGCTTTTTAGAATTTAGGCTTCGTTTGGAATGACTTTCTGATTACCTTTTAAAATAGCTTTCTAGTACAAAAATTAAAATTTTGGTAATAGAAAGCTGATTTAAGAAGCAGTAAGAAAGTCGTCCTAAACAAAGCCTTACTTGTATTCATCTTCTTTTTCATTTAGGTTTTGTTTGGGACAGCTTTCTTGTTGCTTTCTAAAACAACATTTTAGTATAAAAAGCTGTTTTCGAAAGCAATAAAGAAGCCGCCCCAAACTAAACCTTAGTATAACTTAAGCTGCTTCTTAATCGCAACCCATTTGATGAACTGATGCAGTCAATTGGTCTTATTCACCGCTGTTTTGTAATAATTCATGTATTCTTCTGCGAGGAAGAGATTGCACAGGTCGTCATTTTTCTTAGATCACTATTGTATTAGCCAATAAAATTGCCAAGGCATCCATTTGATCTAAAGAGATATTTGATCTCAAATTTCTTAAAATATTTTTCAATAAATTTGCCTTGTATTGAAGCTCAACTGAACTCGAATTGGTCTAAATGGCTGTAGACCGGGTTGTTTGCTCAGGAAAAGATGACGCTATTGCACGAATCCTGCTTTCGCAAGCTTAAGATTTCCTTTTTTCTTGAGGTAGATTGGATTTTAAATTAACCAAATTTTCCCTGATGATTGGCATCAGGATTTTTTTAATTCAGAGGTTCCACTTTCTATGAGCACAAGCCCTCATAATTAATTACCCTTCAAAACACGGAGAAGAGAACTCTCTATTAAGGATGAATCAATGCTTAAACATGCAACAATTTTAATTTTGGGGGGATGGAGGTAAAATTGATTAAGATCCAATGGTTCTGTCATCCTGGGTATGTTATAGGTTTCAGTCTATCAACATTAACAATCATTGATTGTAGTGTCAAAGAAATTTGATTAGCAATCATGCGTTGCTTCCTCTCAGGGATACCGAGTAAACTAAAGTGGATAGATGTAGGCTGATTTGGTTTAGGTTGAGACTTACGGTTCCGTTTGAGAGTTGCCCATATTTTAGATTTAGGTTAGGTCTTATGACCCATTTAGGTACTGCTTATAGTTTAGACTTAGATTAGGTCTTACGACCCCATTTAGGAGTTACTTATAGTTTGAATTTGGGTCGGGGCTTTTGGCTTTCATTGAAAGTAGCCCGTATAGTTGAAATTTAGGGTTAGGTTACTTTTACCTAGAGACTTCCCCTAATGCGTGGGTCATACCGGTTCTATTAAAAGTAGCCCATACATCGGGTATTGCGACCTCGATTAAAGATGGGCCACTAAACTTGGGTTAGTGGAGATCTAGTTTAGTTGTGTTTTGGTAGCAGACATGAAATTTTGCATTTGAGTGAGTCTTACGTACTATTTCTATTAGAAGTAGCATATGTGCTTCAATTAGATGCTTCTCCTAGTTTGTTTGGAATTGGTTGATTACTCTCCATTAAAGGATTTGTTGCTCTCCTTAGGAGAGTTCATAATTGCTTTTGGGAGGTTATGTGCATTAATTTAATCAAGATTAACCCTACTTTTGCTAGTAGTTATCTATTAGACTAACTTTAGAGTGGTTACACACCTTACTTCCTGACACTAGTACTTTTTACCATAACTTTCAGTAGTTTACTGTGATTTTGCTGGTAGTAGTCCCACATAGCTTTCCTACATCAATATCTTGTCATTTTTTGCTTTGATACTGTTGTTCTAGCTTCAGTACATTATTTCCAGCACTTTGTTTCGTCAACAATTCTAGTTTTCTTGCATCACTAGTTTTACCTGTAGTAGTAGCTTTACCTACTTGTTTGTTCTTTATGGTACTAGTTTTTTTCTTTTCAATACTAGTTTGCGTACTCTACAATGACTTTTGTCTACTTGCTTGTAAGTATTTGTGACTAGCAGCTACAGGAGCTGGAGCTCTCAACTGCAAGATTTATTAAGAGCTAGGGCTTACCCGAACTTAGATCTTGTTAGGGGCTAGAGCTTGCCAGGAGTTAGAGGGGTTTAGTTTAGGATTTTTGAAGCCTTCTTTTTATTTCATGTTTTCTTTTGTTTTAGAAGTTTAGTATTTTAGTTGGTGTGAGTTGTTTTAGGTTGATTAGGATGAGCATTATTCTTTTATTATTTTTTAATGCATTTTATTAAATTTTGAATTAATTTGCTTAATTAATTAGGTTATTAATTAAATGAAAATAAAGTTTAAATTTTAATTTAAAATTAACTGCTCAGCTCGTCAATTTAAATTTTAAATTTTAAATGTATTTAAAATTACTCAATTAATTAAATCAAGGCTTAAATTTATTATTGAATTAATTTAATAAATTTGAAGATGTTTAGTTTAGTTAGTTTAAATTGATTAACCAATCAAAAGATTTTTTTTAAATCAATTAATGAGTTTAGTTAATTGAATTTTAACTTTATCTATGATTAGTTAATTAATTTTTTAATTAGGTTTGTTTTAAATCAATTATTAATTTAACTTGAGGATTTAATTTTATTTATTTAATTAAATTAATTAGATTTTTATTTTTATCGGCGTATTAGTAAAATCGAAGTTAGAGAGGCTTTAAAGAAAATAAAGGGTGGAAAAGCTGTTGGACCTGATGATATTCCAATAAAGATGTGGAAATGCTTAGGAGATGAAGGAATTTATTGGCTTACTAAACTTTTTAATATTATTTTGAAGACTAAAAATATACGAGATGAGTGAAGAATGAGTGTGCTAATTCCTATTTTTAAGAATAAAGGTGATGCACAAGATTGTGCGAATTATAGAGGAATTAAGTTAATGTGTCATATTTTTAAACTACAAAAGTTATGGAGCATAAGTAGCGGCTTGATACTAATGTTTCTCAAAATCAATTTGGATTCATGTCGGGTAGGTCGACTATGGAAGCCATACATTTATTAAGAGGTTGATGGAGAAAAATAGAGAAAATAAGGAGGATCTATATATGATATTTATTGATTTAGAAAAAAACATATGATAAAGTTCCAAGAGAAGTGCTATGGAGAGTTCTTAAAAAGAAAGGAGTTAATAATGCTTATATTAAAAT